GATGTCCTGGGTAAGCCTTCAAAGAGATCTTCAAGAGTTCCTTAATATCCAGCAGTATTTTTAAAAGCAAGTGTTAGAAAAGCCCAGATGACTTCATATTTAAGGGTAATGTCTACACAACCCACTAGAACGCCAATTTTTATCTAAAAGTCACAGGATGGTGGGGAGAAGGGGAGGGAGCATTTTTGAGGGAAACTCAGTGAAACTTCAAGGACAGACCTACAACCAAAGCTTTTCAGGAAAGGAAATAAAGAAAGGATGCAATTTGGGGCAAAACAAATAAGGCAGTACAGGTGACCCTTGAACAACATGGGTTTGAACACCACACGTCCACTTAAATGCAGATTTTTTACAACACAGTACTGCATGTTATTTTCACTTCCTTATGATGTTTTAAATAATGTTTTCTCTCTGGTTTATCACTTGAAGAATATAGTATATAATACATGTAACATACAAAATATGTGTTGTCTGTTTATATTATCAGTAAAGTTTCCAGTCAAGAGTATGCTATTAGTAGTTAAGTTTTGGAGAGTCAAAAGTTACATACAGATTTCTGACTGCATGTGGTGTGGTAGGAGTGCTCCAACGCCCCACACTGTTCAAGGGTAAACTATATAACCATTTCTAGATGTAACTGAAGGATCTTAAAGTGGAAAACGTTAGTCTAATCATATCTCTGATCTATAATCCAAAATAATCTGATTCTTATTTTTACAGAATTGTCATTATCACACATAATTGAAAATGGAGGAATAAATATTAACTTTTAGCCTTAGATCATGATCTGGGAATCTAAAAAAAATCTAATTCAGGTGATTAAGCTCTGGGCAAATCTTTTTGTGCCAATAGCTCCAGAAATACTCTACTGTTAGAACTAAAAGAGGCCTTGGAAGGCATCTGTCCAATTTCATTTCTCCTTGAGAAAAGCTAGGGTTAGAGTAGTGTATCATTTCCTCTTTTCCTTCAGGTAATTAAAGAAATGACGTAACAGGCTGTCTGGTAGAGGAGTGGGAGTTGGTGGCTGCGGCCTTTGAGCTGGGATGACCCGCGCTCTGGCAGAGGCCAGGGAGCCGAGCCAGAGCCATGGCCAGTACAGTGGTAGCAGCTGGACTGACCATTGCTGCTGCAGGACTTGCAGGCCGTTATGTTTTGCAAGCCATGAAACATATGGAGCCGCAAGTAAAACAAGTTTTTCAGAGTCTACCAAAATCTCCCTACTGCCAATAAAGGAAAAATAAGAGATGCTCATCCACAAATTATGCTTTGAAACCACCCAGACAAGGGAGGATCTCCGTATATAGCAGCCAAAATCAATGAAGCTAAAGATTTACTAGAAGGTCAAGCTAAAAAATGAAGTAAATGTGTGATGAATTTTAAGTTCTTGTTAGTTTATGTATACAAGTGCTAGCTTTTTTTTTTTTTAAAGATTTTATTTATTTATTTGAGAGAGAGAGAATGAGAGAGAGAGCACATGAGAGGGGGGAGGGTTGGGAGGGTCAGAGGGAGAAGCAGACTCCCTGCCGAGCAGGGAGCCCGATGCGGGACTCGATCCAGGGACTCCAGGATCATGACCTGAGCCGAAGGCAGTCGCTTAACCAACTGAGCCACCCAGGCGCCCCAAGTGCTAGCTTTTTATAATAAAATACCTCAAAGCTACAAATTTTAACAATGATTTGGCACAAACTAAAAAAAAAAAAGAAATTACATAACAATTACAGATATTTGTATACTATTTTACAGTTTACAAAATGCTTCTTCATTCATTATCTTCAACTACTGATCCTCACAGTAGTTTTGAGTAGTAGTGATAGGTAGAGCAGTCACTATTACCTGTATTTATTTTATAATGGATTTTCTATTTATCTATTTTACGATAGATAAAACTGAGCCTCCGAGAAACTAAACAAATTTTTTCCAATTTGGCATGGCTGGTGGGGCAAATAGACAATTTGAACCTAAGCTGTCTAGTCTTGCCACCACTCATGATGCCTCCTTATTGAAGAGACATAAATGAGAATATAACTTAAATTCTTTGAATGAAACATGATATAAATTCAATGCCACATAACATTACTGTTTTAGAACTCTAATTGGCATAATACAAAATAGTACTACTGTATGTTGTTTTAACTAATGGTAAAACATAAAGCTTCTAATCATCTTGAGTGTTTTTTGAAACTTTTTTATCAACATACAAATTTCATAATACCTTGGTTTGACTTATTTTCTTTTTATAAAATCTCAAATACTTGATTTTTTTATTAATATGTAGCAAAAGAACATAGAAGAGCACCAATGTTTATCTACAAACCACAGAGCAAAAAAGTTTTTGAGGGAGACTCAGTGAAGCTAGAATGCCAAATCTCAGCTGTACCTCCACCAAAGCTTTTCTGGAAAAGAAATAATGAAATGGTACAATTCAACACTGATCGAATAAGGTAGGATAAGTATTTTTAAACATAACTGTAGTTTATTTGGGTGAATCCAGTTGTACTTGAAATGCATTATAAATGGCATGCGTTTGTAATCTCAGTTTGTCTAGTTTTTAAAACATGTATAGAAACACAATAAACCTCATTAACCCCGATTCCACTAATCAAAAATTTAAGGCCTTAAGCTAGGATTTACCTTTTTACTAACAATAAAGAAAGATGGCTCAAGGAAATGATGACACAAAATTAAAGGGGAGGAATTAAACTCAATAAAACCAATAGCTATTTGGCATTAACTAGGTACAGTCTCGGAATTTCCAAATGCTTCGTTTTCTTACAGTCTGACCCTCTGGGTCAGAAGCATCATAAAGTTTCACAGGAAAATTAATACCTACCCTTCATTTTTTTATTATTGTTTCTTTTCAGTTTGTATCATGATAACTCTGGAAGAGTTACTTTACTGATAAAAGATGTAAACAAGAAAGATGCTGGGTGGTATACTGTGTCTGCAGTTAATGAAGCTGGAGTGACGACATGTAACACAAGATTAGATGTTGCGGGTATGTCACGCTATCAACCCAAGGACTTAATCAGAAAGATTTAGTAAGAAACACAAATCCCAGCGTAATATAAAAATAATCAGTTCTGACTTTTTTTTCTTTTCCTGTCTGATACTAAATACCTAGGGCAACCCATTTGTTTAGAACAGGTTTTCTGAATTAATCTCTTTTTTATCTATTTCAGTCCATCAACACCAAACTCTTCCAGCTCCTAAGCTGTTACGTGTTCGACCAACTTTCAGCAAATACTTAGCACTTAATGGTAAAGGTCTGGATGTGAAACAAGCTTTTAACCCTGAAGGAGAATTTCAGCGTCTGGCAGCTCAATCTGGACTTTACGAAAGTGAAGAACTTTAATGAGGTTACCAACATTGAAAAACACAACTACATTATTAGTAATATGTTCAATTAAATTTTTAAAATAAATCCATAGCTGTATTAACAGATTATGGTTTTAATTAGGTAATATAACTAATATATATTTGTAATATTTATCCTTTGACTCTTGCACATTCTGTCTTCTCTGGTTTGCGAAGCCCATGGAAAATCTGGGCATATGGGTTTGTAATTGTAGAAGACTATCTTAAAATGTGAGATTTTAACATTTAAGTCATACACATTTAACAATTACAGGTTATGAATATCAACTTTTTAAGCACATCTAATGCTTGTAATAAGGTTTACTGGTACTGCTTTCTAAATACTGTTTTACCCATTTTCTCTTATAGGAATACTAACATGGTATAGATTATCTGAGTGTTCCATAGTTCAATGTCAAAAGAGAATAAAAGTTCAAATATTTAAAACAGACTGTCTTCTCTTCACAAAAGTCTAGATCTTTAAAATAAAACTTCTGGTTTTTATATACTATACAACACTTAGCAAAACCTAAAAATAACAAGTTCCAAAAAAGCAACAATATTATGTCTCAATGAAGCTCACTTACAGCTCAGTCAATTCCTCCGGAAATTAAGCTAGACTTTCCATGGTTTGCACTTCAAAAGCAAGCAACAATAACTAAATCCTGACAGAATCTCTCCTGAAATGGTGATTTTGTTTTAACCAAAAAAGTCCCTAAGTCTTCAAGACCTTTGAGTCTACTGAGCTCAATGGAATATGAATAGTCTGTAAAGTCATCTGCTTAATTCTTACATTTCATATAAATTTGAACGCGGGGGGGGGTGGTCCTCCTACATTTCAAGTTCAGATAACCTATTACTTTAGAAAGCCAATTTTGTGAGCATCTGAGAGTCTAAGTACGGGAAAGGGAAAATCCTTTTATTACACTATTCCTTAAGCTAGGACACTAGCCCTTTCTTCTCAGGCCTCCTGTCCACTGGCCATGGCCTTTTCCTAGGCCTCTCCTGTATCTTTTATCCTTGGTAGTCTTTGACCCTCGCTGCTGTGTGGACTCGGCTTGTTTTTTATCTACACATAAAATAGCATTTATCGACATCTCTTTCAGGGAAATAACAAAAGCGGCTTTATTTTTTACTTCCCCAACAGCTTGATGGTTTTCTTTGCTGGCTGCCCTGGGGCCTTTCTACTGAATTGTTTCATTTTCCTTTTTTCCAACATGAGACTCTCTCCTGTCTCATATCCTGGCAGGGTTTTGGATGCCTTAATTTACAGCCAAATGTCTTTGGTTTACAAACCTTCCCATCTTTGCAAAGCTTCTGGGCCAGATGTGAATCTGGGTTCCCAAGGTCTCCTGTTTGGCCCACTCTTCCAAATCATCACTTCAGAGCTGGATTTTTTTAATTCTACTTTATCGTTTTCTTTAGCCACATTGGGTGGCAAGAGGGGTGGAAGCTATTTCTAGCAGCAGCTCTCGGTTAACGAGAACCGATGTCTGCCAAGCAGCAGCGGCAGAGTGGGCGCTTGGTTAGGCACTCGGGCTCTGGCGTCCGGCAGACCTGCCCCGACCACCTGTGCACTTCGGTAAGTCACTGACCCTCTCAGCGCCTCGGCGTCTCCAGACCTAAAATGAGGATAAAACACCTACCTTTCGAGAAGGGGGGATGTGAAGACTAAACAAGCCAATAAATGTAAAAGGTGTTCAAGACACAGTAGCCCGTTAGAATTAATTACTATGATTTTTACGACCAACCCCAGGCCCCAAACCAGGCTCGCCCGAGAGGCCGGCCCTCCGCCAGACAAACGCCGCAATTCCCAGCCCCGCCTCAGTCGCCGGCTTTCCAGAGCGTCCGCGGTGCGCACGCGCGCTGGCCACCTGTAGCACGGCTTGCGCCGGTGCAGGACCGTGAAGATTTGCGCAGGCGCAGGAGCCAGGTGGCGCGCGTCGCAAAGTTATGCGCAGGCGCGGCAGATCGGGGAGGTCGAACGGGCGTCGTTGTCCAGGTCGGCCATGGCTGAGGCGTCACGGTGGCACCGAGGCGGTGAGGGGTCATCCTAGGGAGTTGTGGGCAGGGCCGATTTGGAAATTACAAGTACCGTGGAAGGAACTGTGTAGCCCCATATCTGTTCATGAAAGACAGCACATTTAGCCCTCACAGTCTCCCCTTGAGAAGGGGTGGATAGGGGTCCCTTTTCACAGATGGGAAAACTGAAGCCTTGAGGCGATATGGCACCCGCCCCTTGCCCGAGGCTCGAGCCGGGGTTGTTAACTTGATGCACAGATACCGTCACTAGGCCATTCTGCGAAGCCCTTAGTTGACCTAGGGAGTCTTACCTCGATAGAACCCCAGGCCGAGTCATTTTCCCCCTCCAGCGGAAGCCAGTCTTCCCAAGAAGCAATATAGAAGGTAGAGAAAACGGTTAGGGGCAGATGAGTGATTTTTTTTTTCTTTTTTTCTTCTCTTTTTTTTTCTTTTTTGTATTTTGCTTTTTCACTTTCAGACGGGATTTCTGAGGAAACGTCCGTGTAATATATAAAATTCACTAGTGTTCAGTCAAAATGACTGCCCGCTCACCCCCCCATGGGAAGTGTTAGTAATTATTCCTCCTTCGCAAAAGTGAGAATAAAAAAATAACCAGAAGCCATTGGAACTTTCCTTCACACAGTGTATCAGCTAAAAGTGGCTGTTTTCCCATCATAGTTATTTATATACATTATAAATGGCATAATAATGTAAGGAAACAATTTGTTTTGTGTCTCACAGGGGCTCCGAAACATAGCCTGCATTACAGTAAGGAAGTAGAAATTAGAACCACACTTCAGGAGTTGGCACTCTACTTTATTTTTTTAATAAACCTATGTATATGTAAGTACACAGATGTAGATGAAGACACTGTTTGAACTAAGAAGTTATGTGGAGGTGAAAAAAAACGTACTTTATAAACCATAGGCTCTGAGACTACTAAGACCTCTAAAAAAATAGTGACACATTTTAGACTTTAATTGACACTATTTCCATTTCTTAAAGGGCAAAGCTTTAGGTCACAGGTGTAATGAAAAGCTTTCATAGTCAACATTGATTGAATTAGTATATCCAGTGAAATACATCATTGGTATATACAGTGAAATAATATGGAACATTAAAGCATGGCATAGGCTCATGTGCCCTAGAATCATGTTGAAGGTAGATAATTGGTAAACACTAAAAGTCTGCTAGCAAAAAAAAAAAAAGAAATGTTTAGTCATATTAAAGAAAGACCCTTCTCTAAAATCTATCCACCCACACTAGAAAGAGAACAAATACCAGTTAATATTTTTAAAAATTCTTATCGTGTGCCAAAACATGGATTTAAATGTTCCACATGCATTATCTCACTCTCATAACAAAACTGTGAGGTAGGAGATGTTATCCCTATGACGGGACTCAAATCGTTATTTGTTTGAATTCAAAATCCGTAGCTTTATTCATTATATTATATTGCCTACTCTCAAAATAGAGAAAAAGCTTGCAGAATAGTATGCATAATATGTTCTCATTTTTGTAAAAATAAACTTATTTTCTTTATAAATGTGTAGGCCTATAGAAAAATCTGAAGAATATGTGCTAAACCTAATTCTAGCGGTGGAGTTACAGGAAACTTCTTCCTGTTTTGTATATTTCTATTTTCTTTTTTTTTTAATTTTATAATTAGTCAAGAAAAAATTTGAATTTTCAAAACAAAATTGGGAATAAAATTTAACTATTAATCCTGATAAACTGAGTTTTTAAAAATAAAATTTTAAACAAAAATTCTTCTCCTTAGTGACTTTTGGGATGGTAAACCCACATATGTATTACTTAAACAAAGTTATGTCATCTCTATTTTTGGACACTTCTGTGCCTGGTGATGAAAGAACCAACTTTAAGTCTATTCGCAGCATAACTGATTTTTGGAAGGTAAGGTATCGTGATTGAGAATGAAGTAGCTTTTGGTATTGCATAAACAAACTCATGGCACACATATTAAGCACTGGAGACATATTTGTTGAAGGAAAGAGTAAAAATGAATATTTCTTTAAACTTTTAGAATCAACCCATCAGTAAGTGTATATTGAGAACCTATGCTCTCAGTGTAATAGAGTTCTTAGAACTTTAAAAAAATTATACTTTTTAAAAAGATTTTATTTATTAGAAAGAGAGAGAGAGTAAGCAGAGGGAGAAGCAGACTCCCCGCTGAACAAGGAGCCTGATGTGGGGCTTGATCCCAGGACCCTGAGATCATGACCTGAGCCGAAGGCAGCCACTTAACCAATTGAGCCACCGAGGCACCCCAAAATTACACTTTTTAAAAATTTTTTTTAAAGATTTATTTATTTATTTATTTGACAGAGAGAGAGAGACACAGCGAGAGAGGGAACACAAGCAGGGTGAGTGGGAGAGGGAGAAGCAGGCTTCCCGCCAAGCAGGGAGCCCGATGCGGGGCTCAATCCCAGGACCCTGAGATCATGACCTGAGCCAAAGGCAGACGCTTAATGACTGAGCCACCCAGGTGCCCCAAAATTAGACTTTTTTTTAAAAAACATTATCATTGCATTTGGAAAATAGTAGACTTGCTGCTTATGTGGGGTTAGGATCCATGTCAAACTGTAATTTTGTTTAGTGAAAATTATTCTTAAAAAATCCTTAAATGGGGGCGCCTGGGTGGCTCAGTTGGTTGAGCAACTGCCTTCGGCTCGGGTCATGATCCTGGAGTCCCGGGATCGAGTCCCACATCTGGCTCCCTGCTCAGCGGGGAGTCTGCTTCTCCCTCTGATCCTCCCCCTCTCATGCTGTCTCCCATTCTCTCTGTCAGATAAATAAATAAAATCTTTAAAAAAAAAAATCCTTAAATGGGGGTGCCTCACTGGCTCAGTTGGAAGAACATGCAACTCTTGATCTTGGGGTTATGGGTTTGAGCCCCACTTTGGGTGTAGAGATTACTAAAAAAATTTTTTAAAATCCTCAAATGGCCCATAAAGTGAAATATATATAATTTTGGTATACAGCCTTGTACTGTGTGTATTACAGTAATGTACAGTATATAATCAAGTAAATAATAAAAAGTACACATGCAAAATATAACTTTATAGGTTTTTTTTAAGATTTTATTTATTTATTTGAGAGAGAGAGAACAAGAGAGAGAGAGAGAGCACATGAGAGGGGGGAGGGTCAGAGGGAGAAGCA